TCATTGTATCCTGGACAGGAGCAAATACATGAAAGATCAGAGAAGTGAAACACGTGGTATAACAGGCAGCATGGTGGTGATGAGGTTAGAGGGGCAGATGGGTATTTCTTTGGAATCTCCCTTGTGAAAGGTCATGGCATTGGCAGAGGTCTCTTGTGAGAGAGAGCAAGCCAACGTTGCACCCTTCTTTGAGCAAGGCCAAAAATGCAACCCCGGGAAGCCCAGGCTGTAAAAGCTCTACTGTGGTGAGGCGTGTGCCATGCATTAGACTCCTCCTGGGTGCCATTTCTGGGCACCTAGAAGAGAGTAACTGCCACCATGGCCTTCCCAAGGGTAAAGCTCGCCTCGCCAGCCTGACAGCCTGCAGCTGAGCATGAGGAGATAAAAAGTGGATGTCATTTGCCTCAGCTTCAGCAAACCTCTTGGCATGGTCACCCTCAGTATTCTTGTACGCACATTAGGCCATTACAGTTTGGATGGACAGACAGACAGATGGGCAAACCCCCAGCTGGATGATGAGGCTGAGAGCACAATGGTGAGAAAGGGGTCACACCCTACCTGGAGTCCAGGAGGACATCCTGGGGCATTGTGGGGCAGCAGAGGGCACTCTCCCCAGCTCTGTGCAGTTTGACACCTGTATGCATGACCCGGAGGAGGCAACTCTCACCATGTTTGTGGATGGGACTAAATTGGGAAGCCATTCCTGTGCCTTGGGATTCCATTCAGGGGTAACTCGTGTCACGAATCAGTGGAATGCACCTCACTCAAAAGAGAGACGCCGCAATATGGTGTGTTGTGGTAAAATAACTTGACAGAGGTCAATGAATTCAATAGAATTTAACAAGGTTTATGAGGGGTTTTCCAAGCTTAAATAAGTTTGATGGCAAGGTTCACCTTATTAATTACTGCATGAAATAAACATACAAAGGAGAACTGAGATGGAATTGAGTTAGAATTATTCACACAGAGACTGGCAATACAAAGTGTAGATCCTCCTGTTGAGTCACGACGTTCACAGTGGACCTCCATACTTCCTAGCTTCATTATGGAGCTTGATGCAGCCATTACCAATCTTAGTCTCCGGTGTGGACAACGGTTTATGTCTGATGGAATTATTTGTGCAAACTTTATAATAACTTATAGTGAGTAGCTACATGGATTAGTAATGCTTGATTAATATAAATTGAGCATGCAATCAAAGTTACCAGACAAAATAAAAGTTACTGTACTCCAAGTTCATGCTCAATATTGGTCACTTACCAACAGTCTGCCATTGGTAAAAGGTATCTCTGCCTTGAGGAGCAACCTTAAGAGGCATCACAGCTCCAGGGGAGACCACCACCATGCAGCCATGCTGCCTAGCAGGGAGAGCTCAGAGAAGGCTCACTCAGGCTGTCATGTTTATGGGATAAAGCAGTTGTACCCACAACTTTCAGGGTTATTTTTCCATTGTTACAAATTCATGTTACAATTGGCTCAGGTCATTGTGTTGCAACAGTTTTCTCAACAATGTGAGCTTCACGCCATTGGGGGTAGGAAATAGATCTTCACGCAATGTATAGTTGGGCTGAAGCTGTTGGTGGGTTGTGACAAGAGCTGAATAGTTAAAGTCACATCCCATAATTTTGGTAAACTTACAACTACAGGTATTTGAGTGATTATAAATCTCACCAGTGGTGTGGTCTATAAATACAGAATCACAAAGGGTTCTCATACAAACACATCTGTTTTTACCATATACAAGTACAGTGTCAGGGGGTTCATCAGGATGTACTTCAAAAGGACAAACATTTTGTTCAGTGTCCAGACAAATGCCTTGGGCCTTAATGGCATCGCTTTCACAAATAAGTCCCTGTTGTTCCTGTAGAACACACACATCAACATTGATAGTTTGATAGAGGATAGAGGACTGTTCCATGGTGATGTAATCCCAGAGCAATGACTGGGTATATGGTGTATACTGGAGCATTGCATCTTGTCAAAACAGAAAGCGTGGCTTTACTGTCAGAGGGGTCATAAGTGAAATTAACTGGATGCCAGAAAAATTGGAAATTGTTTTCAATTTGAGTCACATTATCCCAGATTACTTTTTGAATTTCAGTGTGTAAGGAGCCCTCATCACCTTGCCTTGTAATTGCTCTTACAGTAGATTGCAGCCACAACTGAGTAACACGTATGGTACAGAATGTGATATAGATACCATATTGGTTAGCACAAGTAAAATGAGGGTCTCCACCCGGTGGGCTGAGCTAGTTGACATGTAAACCAAATTTGATTCATCCCAGCCATGATTACTCCCATGAGAAGGATAAGCAATCCTTTGATGGCTAACCTGATCTCCAGGGGAGGTGTGCTGGTATTGTTCCCAGTATTGTTCCAGGAAAGGGAAAACAATTCAAGACTCAGTGCGGTTCTCCAGTTGGGTTACACCTCAGTGGCTCAAACTGTTTGAGGAGAAGGGCCTGGGCACCTGGTCGATGCCATACAAGCCAGTGGGTCTCAGATTTCAAAAGTGAAGAAACTGGAGAGGATTCAGAGGACATCTGCTAAGATGGAGCAGATGAGTTGTGAGAGAGTCTGAGGGGCCTGGGACGCTCTTAGTGCTGAAGGAGGCATGAGGCAACCTAATAAGTACCTAAACCTACCAGGACAGATGATGGCACCAACCTCTCTCTTCTGCAGTGGCCAATGGTAAGAGAGAGGCAACAGCCACCAACAGCCTTGTGGAGCTTCAAGCTGAGGCTTAGAGGAAAAAAAAAAAATTGACTAGGATTATCATTGCTGTGATCTCCACCTTTGGAGGATGGAAAAGAGATCCCTCCCAGCAGTCTCTTTCCCAGTAGCACTTCCAGGTGCCTAGGCCTTGCCCACGTGCCCTAAGAGAAGATATTACTCCAGAGTGAGAGTCTCTACGTCACATGCTCATAGGACAACTCGGGTTGGAAGAGAACTCAGGAGGTCTCAAGCCCAACACCCATCAAAAGGCAGGGCAATCTCTGAGGTCAGACCAGGTTGCTCAGTAAATGTCAGCATCCACAGAGAGAGTTCAGCCATGAACCAGGCACCTAAGCCTCCATTACAGAAATGAAGATGAGGTGTTTGACACACTTGAGGAGTATGGCAGGACATGGAAATGCCCAGTTTGGGGGACTGGTCTGGGACCATTTTACTGGGGGAAATTCAAAAGGGTATCCAGGGAACATGGCAGAGAATGGGCCCCTTTGTACTGCACCGTTGGCACCTTGCTTCCTTCACCATGATGCCTGGCTGTGCACCATCAGAACACTTCTGTGTGCTCCCACTCTGCACACACATACACACACAGCTCAGCTCTACACCAGTATTTTCCTCTCCTGGGTTCTTACCTCCCAAAACATTGAGAACACAAGGAGAAATTACTCTTTATAAGACCAATTTCTTGGACATTATATTGGAAGCAACTTTGGAGGAAGAGCCCAGCCTTCAGGCACTGCACATGGGACATACCATTTTATTGAAAAACTGCATTTCGAGATGCCACACCTGACACAGACTTGTGGAAGAGTGAGATACAATAGGATCAAGCCTCACAACAAGGAGTATAAACCCAGAAAATTATCTATAAATTTGATTCTCAAAAGAGAAAAAAGGAGACTTGTGGCCAAAGAGAAATTTTGGGAAATGTGAACAGAAGAAGGCAGGTTACTGGTGGTGAAACAGTATCCATTGGGCCAGTATCTATAGGGCATCTTTGAGCTCCTGGTTCCTCATGTTGTAGATGAGGGGGTTCACTGCTGGAGGCACCACCGAGTACAGAACAGCCAACAAGTGATCCAAGGATGTGGAGGAGATGGAGGAAGGCTTCAGGTAGGCAAACACTGCAGTGCTGATAAAGAGGGAGACCATGGCCAGGTGAGGGAGGCATGTGGAAAAGGTTTTGTGCCATCCATGCTGAGAGGGGATCCTCAGCACAGCCCTGAAGATCTGCACATAGGACACCACAATGAAAACAAAACACCCATGTGCTAAACACAAACTGACCACAATAAGCCCAGCCTCCCTGAGGTAGGCATCTGAGCAGGAGAGCTTGAGGATCTGGGGGATTTCACAGAAGAACTGCTCCATGGCACTGCCATGGCAGAGTGGGAGTGACAATATACTGGCAGTGTGCAGAAGAGAGTTGAGAAAGCCACTGCCCCAAGCAGCTGCTGCCATGTGGACACAAGCTCTGCTGCCCAGGAGGGTCCCGTAGTGCAGGGGTTTGCAGATGGCAACATAGCGGTCATAGGCCATGATAGTCAGAACACAATACTCTCCTCCAATCAAGAAGAAAAAGAAAAAGAATTGTGCAGCACATCCCAAGTAGGACATGGCCCTGATCTCCAACAGAGAATTGGCCATGGCTTTTGGGAGAACAGTGGAGATGGATCCCAGGTCAAGGAGGGAGAGGTTCAGAAGGAGGAAGAAGTACATGGGGGTGTGGAGGCGGTGGTCGCAGGCTATGGCGGTGATGATGAGGCCATTGCCCAGGAGGGCAGCCAGGTAGATGCCCAGGAAGAGCCAGAAGTGCAAGAGCTCCCACGTGTCTGCGAATGCCATAAGGAAGAACTGGGTGATGGAGCTGCCATTGTACATCTGCTGCTTCTGGGCATGGAAGCAGCCAAAGGAGATAAAATCAGAAAAATTTAGAGAAGGTTTTCTGAGCAAAATTTGATGCATTCATTGTGAAATACCTAAGGGTGCTTTTCTTTGGGTGCTTTTCTTTCCTGTGGAAATTTAATGCAGGGCCAAGGTCTCAGCTCTGGTGTTACACTATAGTGCAGGGTAAAAAGCTAAGAAGGATGCTTTCTTCCACAGGGGAAGGTGGGAGATGACATGCAGCAATTGTCTCTCCTTCCACTGTGGTTTAGGATTCAGAGACTCCCATTCCACTTACGAAATGTTCTTGGAAATGGGCCTCACTGCAAACCTCCATCAGCGCTCACATGCAGGAGGGCTGCTCTGCTCATCAGCCTCATGCCCAGCTGCTCTGTGCTTGCACCGCTCTCAGCTGGAGGAGGACTACACCCAGAGGTGGCTCTGAAAAAGAGACTAGACTGTTCTGGACTGGGAGCAGAGGGGTCCTGCTCAAGGTGCAGATTTAAAAGCAGCTCTCCTTCCCAGCACAGCTATGCAGATCAATGATGAGGAGGACAGGACCAGGAGGGTGATTTGCATGGGCAGATCAGGTGCTCTCAGCCACCACAAAGGTCCTGGAGGAGAGAGCTCTGCCCTCACAGCACCGCAGGACTCCCTGCCCAGCAGAACCAGGGCTCTTAAGGTGATGTCTGCTGAGGGAAGCAGCGTCTCCTTGCCCA